ATCCCACCCACTCTTCCCAGAGTCCTCCCCACTCTCCCAAATCTCAATCTACATACCCCTCTAAAAGTCCCTCTCCCACCCTGTCCCCAAGTTTTCTCACCTCTCTACATGTTCAGAGGGCTTCTACACCCTTCCAGATGTATATGCTGTTTTCTCTTCAACCCAGATGAGTAACGTTCTAACATTACCAGCCCCCCACCCCCGCCTGCTTCCTCTCTATCAGTTCTTCCTTTCACACCCCATTTTTATGAGATAATTGCTCCTTTTTACCTCTTCCTACCCACTTTTGTTTTTTAGAATCAGCCCATCATACATAACTCAGCCCCAACCTTTCTTTCAAACTACTCTGATAATTTTAAAAATACTGATAACATTTTCATATGTAAGAAGTAAATAGTTTAACCTTAATGAGTCCTTAATGTTTTCCTTATATTTCTTCTGGATCTTTTGTATCTAATTTTCCAATGAGTTCTGCTCTTTTTGTCACAAATACCTGAAAGTCTTTCAGTGAAATAAATGTCCATTTTTTTTCCATTCAGGATTATACTCAATTTTGCTGGGTAAGTTATTCTTGGTCATAACCCCAGCTCTTTTGTTGTTCAAAATATAATGTTCCAAGACCTACAGTCTTTTAGTTTAGAAGCTGCTAGGTCTTGTGAAATTCTGAACGTATCTCTGCAATATTTAAATTGTGTTGTTGTTGTTGCTTACAATATTTTCTCCTTAACGTAAGAGTTTTGAAACTTGTCTATGACATTCCTGCAAGTTTTCCTCCTGGGATTTCTTTCAGGGGGTGAACAGTAGAATATATATATATATATATATATATATATATATTTTTTTTTTTAAATTTCTACTTTACCTTCTTGTTCTAGAACTTTAGGGCAATTTTCCTTAATAATTTCTTGTAATATGGTATCCAGATTCTTTTTTTGATCATAACTTTCAGGTGGTCCAACAATTCTTATATTGTCTGCACTTGATCTGTTCTCCAGATCACTTCTGATCTCCAGATCAATTCTTTTTCTAATGAGATGTTTCAGAATCTCTTCCATTTTTTCTAGTTTTATTATTTCTTGTGATATCTTATGTCTCATAACATCATTCAATACTTCCTGTTCAATTCTAGTTTTCAAGGAATTATTTTCTTAAGATTTTGTCTTTTTCTAATTGGTTAACTTTCTTTTCAAAACTATCTGGGATTGGGTTTTTTTTCCTATTTTTTCCTCAATCTCTCTTACGTGATTTTTTAATTCCCTTTTAAGTTCTTCCAAGAACTCTTTTTGGGCTTGTGACCATTTGATGTCACTCATTGGGGAAGGAGTGGCTTATTTCACCTCACTATCTTCCTCTGAATATGAACCCAGATCTTCTTTTACACCAAAGTAGCTATCTATGGTCGGGTTCTTTTTCCTTGGCTTACTCATTTTTATTTTTAGCAACTTACTATTATAGTAATAATTATTATAATAATCAAGTTCTAATTCCAAGCTGTGGGTAATGTTGCTCTAGGCCTCAGGTCCTCCTTACTGTTATTTTCTGAATTCTGTCCAAGGGCTCAACCTCAGGCCCTCCTTTCCTCCTCTAAGCCACAATTAGGGCCCCTGGCCTTGCTGCCTAACTGTCCCAAACATATCCCAGCCCCCTTGGGTACCACTCACCGGGCGTGTGCTCACTCCTCCTTGGCCACAGTCACAGCCCAGGATCACTTCTGGTCAGCACTACCGGACCTGCCTTCCAGAAACAGCAGGGGGTCCCTCAATCTTCCACCCACCCATCTGTCTGCTTTTCCTTAGATGAAAGTTTGTGAGGTAGAAGTTCACAAGGTGAAAGTCCCTGAGGTTGTGGGGTGAAAGTCTGTGAGGTGAAATTTCTTGAGGCCTCGTCCGCTTCCTGACAGAGCTGCTCCAGGGCCTGCTGTTTGCTGACCCAGCAGAGTCGGCCTGGAGGAGTCTACACTTCACCCAGGCCAAACCTCAGCCCCTAGAGACTCTATCTCTTCTGAGGTCCTCTCAAGTTGTCTTAGAAGGACAACTGCTTTACCCCTTTATTTTTGCCGCTCTATGTTCATTACGTGGAGATTTTCTGTCTCTTTATGAAGGAAGTTGGGAGAGCCTAGAAATTTTTGACCCACTCTGCCATCTTTCCAGAATCCCTTCTCAATTCTATTTAAAAACTAGACACTGTCAAACATGCTGCCCTTGATTTGTTTACCTGCTAGGTCATATAAGAGGCCACAGTTCACTTTTGTTTACCTCTTCTCTGATCCAGAAATCATTTAAAAAGAAATAAGAGTGGGGAGGGGAAAGGATGAGAGGAGAACCCATCCTTTGGAAAAATATTGGGAAAAATCTTTCTCCGTAAAAGAGACCAGACCAGTTCAAAAAAGAATGGATCTCAGAGGTATCCAACTTCGAGCATGTGTCTTCTAAGTTTTAACTTCAACTAATGTGAAGCAAAGTTTGAAGATTCAAAGTCAAAAGTACCTACATGGAGTAGGTATACTGGATATGGGACCTCCGATTTCTCTATAGTACACCGAGTACAAGGGTTCACAAAGATATATCATTTAAACATGAATCTTACATAAAATCCACACTGAATTGTCATAGTAAGTCATTAACTATTAATTATCAAGTCCTTGTCACTATAACTATGTGAAACATTCACTTAGCTCCACTGGTTTTTTTGTGTTTTGTTTGGGGGGAGGGCTATTTTGACCTATGATTTGATCAGTGTGGGAAATTGACTGGTATGGAAATCCCTTCCACCAATAGTGATCAGTAACTCAACTACACCTGAGTCTTAGGGGACACTGCCTGGAGAAACTGTGTGGGTAAGTGACTTGCTCAATCACACAGTCCTGTCAGTGATAGGCCAAGTCTGGCAGCCCAACCACTTGACTGCTGCCTCTCAAAGCTCCACTGTTGGACATAAGCAAACACAAATCTTCTCATACCTTTAAAAGGTTAGTAAAAGAGGACTTCAAACTGAATTAGAGGGATAGAGTTTTTGTAATAAAGATTACAAAGAATTCCAATAACTTACAAGATTCGCTATAAGTTCCTTGCCATCTCCCTTTACTAAAGGATCACTGCTATGGATCTTCTTTATTGCTTGACCTACTCATGCCTTCACAAGTTTCTCATTCCTGACTCTTTGAGAGGCACCAAGCTCCCCATAGCTCAGAAATCTCCAGGAACCATTCAGATTGCCTATTATTCCCTCTAGGACTCAGAATCTGTTAATTGAAGTGTCTTTCTTTCCTCATTTGCTACATTCTAAGAGGAAGTGTAGTGTAGCATAAAGCACTGAACCTGGAGCACTAACTAGCTATGAGAATGGCCTTCCCTCTTTGGGTTTCAGTTTTCCAACATGCAAAATGAAAAAGCTGGAATATGGTCTTCCAGTAATTCTTCTGGTTTTTGTTTTTAAAGGATGGTCTCTGATACTGTGTTTAGATGTTATACCATCTTAAGAAGGATACAATAGTAAAAACGTGATCCTTATTTTATTATAACCATTCTGAAATCTATGAACAGCTATTGTGCTTTAGAGACATGACCTAATTTATGGGTTTTTAGTGTAAGTGCCCCTGATTTGCTGCATAGAATACTGTCATTGCAATATCCTTTTTCTAAATTATTGTAGATATTTGGAAAGTCCTTTTTACTGTTTCCATTGAGGAAGTAAACAAGAAGTGCATTTGATCACTGGCAAAAAGGGTGTGATCTAGCTTTTGATTTGGAATCTATGGCCACATCTATGACTAATATTTTGGTATATGTGTAATATTTTGGTTTGTGAACCACAACATTCAAATGACAAATAAATCCAACATATTATAGTTCAAACTTAACTCAGTAAGCCAACTAGGGAGCCAGGAAATCAGCTGCTGTGACTACTAATCCTGTTATTTCAAGCTTATGTGCCTACCGACAAGTCCATTTACACCACAATCCACTTTCTGTAAAAGAAGATATGACAATACCAAGATAGAATTGGGATTGGATCTATGATTTCAAGTGAGGAAACCTCCACCAATGGAGGTTGGCACTTTCTTATATAGTCTTAGAAGGTTGCCTAGAGTAGTGGTGTCAAATTCCAATAGAAACAGATTTCTGCTGGTCACATCATGACTGAGAAAACCACAAATTAACACAATCTAGCTTGTACTATATCTTTATTTTGTTAAACATTTCCCAATTATATTTTAATCTTGTCCCTGCCCATGGGAGTGTTGCAGGCCAGAGTTTGACACCTCTGGCTAGAGCACTGAGAGGTTTAGGAACTTGCCCAGGGTTACACAGACAGTATATGTTAAAGGTGAGACCTGAAACCACATCTTCTTGGTTTTATAACCACAAATCCATGTCTAAGGCAATACTAAGGTAATTCAAAATTATCATGTAGGATTTTGTGGTTCTTTACACAAATTCAAGTATTGGCAGTGATATTTTTAAAAGGTTATCTCAGTGACAGCATCAATAAAAGGATTAATAAAGAAATTCTCAAATATGATCAAAAATATCATTAGTTATTTAGATGGGAATAATTTCCATTCAAAGTAGATCTTCAATTTTATTAAAATTATGATGTAACAGTAATATCCTTAAAGAGTTCATAAATCTTTTCAAATTTTACATAATATTCTCCAGTATACCAATGTATGTGCAAAAGTCAAATTTCTGGCTTGAGTTTTTGTTTTTGTTTTTGGTTTTGGTTTTTGCTAGGCAATGGGGTTAAATGACTTGCCCAGGGTCATACTGCTAGTAAGTGTCAAATGTCCGAGGCTGGATTTGAACTCAGGTCTTCCTGACTCCAGGGCTGGTGCTCTATCCACTGTGCCACCTAGCTTGAGTTTTTAATGCTCAATTTGCCAGATACAGTATTTGATCATTCCAAAAATTATTTCTGATATTCGAGAGAATAGTTTTCACCTTTTCATTATTAGGTACTGAAGTTAGTTGGTTTACCTGTATAAAAAATTGATCCAGACAAAAGTTCAAATCATTTTAATATTTAAGACCTTATTGTAAAACATCTTTATCTTAGTACAAGGTAAATCAGAAATTTCAAAATTAATTGGTCATGTAAATTGCCTTGAACATATTCTGTAGTTGAAATTTTCGTATTATTTGTATGTGATTTGCAAGATGTTAAACAGAGGCAGCAGCTTTATCAATAAACTGAGCCAGTTTTATATCTCTCTTGGTTAGTCCACCACAGTCATGCGAAATAAGAGTTATCTGGACCTAAAGAAAAGAAAACAAGTTATTAAAGAAAAAAAAAATCGAATTCTTTATTATCTTTCAGCAGGACAGATTGTTGATCTAATGTTAAACATTCACATGACAATTTAAAGAACAAAGCAGCTTTTTAAAAAGTGCTTTATATGAAAATATCTATAGTTCCTAAACACAACAAAACCAAATAAAAAAATTACATCATAATGTGATGCCTACAAAACAGCTGACTTGGGACAAAAACCTTTTTCACTTGTAAAGTCAGTTTAGTTGCCATAATCTCAACCTTTCCTCTTTAAAAAAAATTAGTAATTACTTAAGTAGGGTTTCAGACCTCTAAGTTTAATTAGGCCACTGAGGGGAGTTCATCTTAATTATTTTTATCTTTAAAAGTACATCTCTAAAAAAGGGGGGGACAAGAAAAAGGAGCTACTTCTTCATAAACTAGTTGATAAATGAAATAGAATTTTATCCATTAGCAGAGGCAGCTAGGAGAACAATCTACCCCAACTGTTATGAGTGACTCCAACAAAATACATATACTAGTATAATATGGGTTGTACAGCTCATGAGCACATCATTCCTTGCCTACTTCCAGGTAACCATATGTGTGACCTAGCTCTTGGGTCCTTGGGAGATGACAAACTTCCTGGTTACTTCTGGTACCCAGTGCTGACACTTCAGTCTGATGCCTGAATGATCCCCAAATTCAGCAGCTCAATATGATTGGAGAATCCCCAGAATCAGGAAAGCAGATGTACTAGAGGAGTGGTAGCCAGGGGCCCAAAGAGGTTGTAGCGGGCCACAGTTAGGAGAAATTCCTTCCCTGCTATCTCCCTCCCCCACATACACACAAACACAACCATACCATGCCTAAGGGATGCCTGAGTAAAGCAATAATATCAGCACCCCCATCTAACCACTCTTCAAGCATGGACCATAGAATCTAAAACAAGTAGGGGTCAGAGACTTGCACAAAACCCACCAATGGGTCTGTGAAAGTAAGATGGGATCCCAAGGACTGGCTTCTTCCCAAAAGGACTAATAGGAGACACAGGATGGAGAGGTGGTGAGAAATTAAGACCAGAAAGATGGTAAAATCTATCTGAATAAAGGAAACTAGTAGAAATCTGTAGTGGTTCTGTCATGTAAATCTGTAGTGTGACATAGGCATAGAGGTGAAAGACTAATAGAATCATCTATTAGCTCGTTACTTCTAGTTTCCCTTAGCATAGTGGGTACTACCCTTCTGTTGCTGATGAGGACAGAGGAAGGAAGGGAGTCTCTTAGTTGATTTTCAGAAGTTCCACAAAGGCTGGCACCTATACAAAGTCACCCCAGCCTTATGTGCTGCCATACTATGTGTCTCTCCTAACTGCTCCAGCTACCTTTCATTTTGTAAAGTGAAAGATTAGAGGTCTAGGGATCCAAATGATCTCAACTGATTCTCAAATATTAAATGGGTAAGAAGCCAGACTTACTGGGACAGAGAGACCCTAAGTTACAGCCTTCCTCCACTCCCTACCTCACCCTCTAATTAGTTCTTGATGCATTCTAGGGTCAAGAAAAATGAACATCACCGCCTTTCCATTACTTGGTCTCCAACTCTGTCCTGCAAAAGTCCAATAGCTGTGGACCCTCCCCACCACAACTGCTCTTCCCAAAGGAGTGAACTGTCCTCAGCACATTCTGACCCAGGGAGAAGGGAAGAGAATAGGGAAGGGAAAAGATTTATCATATGCCTAGGCATTTTGCTAAGTGCTTTATAAATATTATCTGATTTGTTTCAACAACCCTGGGAGGTGGGTGCTACTATGATCTCCATTTTACAGTTGAGGAAACTGAGGGAAACAGAGATTAAATAAAGCCCTATGATAGTAAGTATCCGAGGCCAGATATGAACTTGGGTCTTCCCGACTCCAGGCCCAGTGCTCTATCTACTGTGCCTCTTAGGGAATATATGTGCATGTTCTATACAATCCACCTATATGCAAAATTTTCTCTCATTTTACAAAGATCTTTACCAAAGGGGAAACAAAACACCTTGGAAATCTTAAAAGATGAGACTTTGCAGCTGATATCACCTAAAATGAAGGGAAATAGTTTTTGGTTTAATTGCTTTTAATCATAATCCTGAGTGTCACTTAATGCAAGGCATCTTCTATGTGGTAATTAAAATCAACTGCATCATGTAATTTCTCCCTTATTCAGGAATTTAGCCTTACAAGAAACAATATAGATTAAGAAAGACGCCTGCAAATCAAACATTCACATTTAACAGTGGGACCTAATTTGACTACACTTGACTTAAATTAATTCCAGTAGAAGAAAAACATAGAATAAAGGAACAAGTACAAATGTTACTAAATTGAAATAATACACATGAACTACAAACTTTGAAGAAAGAGATGGAGAAAAAGGAAGAGAAGGAGACAGGAGCAGCAGCAAAGGAGAAGAGCTAGTATTTACATAGTGACTACTACGTGATAGGCACCGTGTTAAGCATTTTACAAATATTATTTTTATCTTCACAACAACCCTGGGAGGTAGGCACAATTATTATCCCCATTTTACAGTTGAGGAAACTGAGACAAGTTAAATGACTTGTCCAAGGCATTTGCATTCAGGTCTTCCTGACTTGAGTTATAACATTCTGTCCATCGAGTCATCTCCTTACCATCGATAATACGTATAAAAAAAGTATATATTCCTATTGACAAAGGACCTAACAGAATTTGGATTCTTAGAAATAATTTCATCTTTATTGTTTGTGCATGCAAGTATGTATACACACAAATATCTATACATGCATATTTATTATATATACATTTATCCATATCTATCTATAGATAGATATCTCTCCTTTTAAAGTCTTATATAATAACACAATTTAAAAAAGAAACAAAACAGAAAACGCCTTCTAAGGTACTGGATCTACTGCTCCATGTAAGGTAAAATAAAGGAATGCAAGAGAAGTTGATTGCTTCAAATATGTACTTACAATCACCAAAAAATAAACCAGTGAACTGACCTTGTTATACACATTGAACCATTCAGGGTGGTGATTCATCTTTTCTGCTTGTAGTGCCACTCGGGACATAAATCCAAAAGCCTAAGAAGAGACAAAAATGAGTAACTATTCATATTTTCTCTAGCACAGAATCAGCTGTGTAAAAGAAATTTAACTCGATAAAAGATTACTAGAATCCTCACAAAAACCTGAACACACACACACACACAAAACAAGTTATCTCCTCAGGGCTATGGTGGTATGGCATCTACAATGACAAAGAGGGATTTTAACAGATGAAAGTTACAAACCAGAAAACTATATTCTTACTCAATGAGCTATCTGGACATTTTAACTGCCTATAGAATGAGGTACTCAAAAATAACGTATCTGCAACTCTCCCAACAGCAAGCAGAATCCAACTGTGCCTTAAATCTATAACAGGTGGAGGCTTACTTTCTAGTCAGAACTAAAAGGAACTATTTTACTGTATATATGGGTATTTTTTTTCACTTATCAATTATTAAACTAGACAAACCATTAAGCCCTTCCAGTAGACCTGAAAACAAAATGTCAGTTGTGAAAGTGAATATTTCCCATCTACCTACAACCTCTCTTAATAATATTGTTGTGACAGGATGAAAAGTTTTCCTTTAATCATTTTAACAATGTGACCAGTAAAATGGCATGTTCTGTCGGCCCCTTTCACCCTCAAACCCTCCAAAAAAAGAATTATGCACCATACATAAAGTAATTACAGCTGAATTCTCAGGACAAAGAAGAGAGCACCCCAAAAGGGGAGAATTAAAATCCTTCAAGTGACTGCTCAATCAGCACCCTTCCCCACCATCATCTAGGTCCTGCATCCTGGAGCCCTCCTTGGGATTCTCACTGATCCACACTCTTCCAGAATACTTTCACCTGGCAACAAGAAGCAGACATCAATACTACCCAACCACTGGAGAAAGAAGGAGAGCAATGAAAATATGCTGTCTTCTGCAGAAGGCTTTGACCTAGCTTTGAGACTCATAAGGCTACAGGCACTCTGTACCCAAACACCCTTGTTACACCCTGCAAAAATGGCAGATAACATTTCAGCTGTGTCATGAAAAGGAAAAAGGGGGAGAGTCACGGGAGGAATTGGTGTGGGAAATCAGCATGCATAGCTACCCTGGGCCTAAATGAAAAGAGACTTAAACCCAGATAATGCCAGTCCTATCCCCTCAAAGACCCCTTAAGGCTAGGGACCTAGACCATCAAACTCTTTATCCTTCAACCTGTGAGGGGGTTAAGATAAGTCTGTGGCTTAACCTTGGGAAAATACAATCAACAAAGAGGAAGGAGTCAGAAAAGTATAGATGAATGTAAGAAAAAAAAAGTGTAAAACACTAAAGATTTCAGGAGGAAAACCCCTAAGAAAAGCCCAGAGAACAAACAAATAAATTAAGAATCAAAAAACAAGGATGAGTACTAAATCTTCAGAAAGTTTCTAGTACTCTCTTAACAAATATTTTAGGACAAATAAAAATGATCCAATGTCTGATGAAATACAGAACTTTTTGAACTGTTATCAAAGTACAGAACAAGAACAAAAAATTTCAGAGTGTTTCAAAAGAGAAATTAAATCTATAATAAAAACTAGAAATTAATGTAGCTCACACCTTAGAGCCCTAAATGCATTATTTTAAAATCTAAGACATGAAGTAGTTAAAAATCTCAGTGACCACAAAATCTGCAAGCAGGTAGAAGAAAGATTTTCAGATATAATGGAAAAGAAATTTGAATAACACAAGACTATTTCTCAGTAAAGAGAAATTGCAGAACAAAATGAAAGAGTATAATCTGAAAGGCAAAGGAATTTAAGTGCACCTCAAAATGGAATACTCAGAAAACTTGAGTTTAGGCATCAACAATAAAAGAGAGACATTCTGGGGCAGCTAGGTGGCACAGTGGGTAGAGCACCGGCCCTGGTATCAAAAGGACCTGAATTCAAATCTGGCCTCAGATACACGATACTCACTAGCTGTATGACCCTGGTTGCAAGTCACTTAACCCCTGATTGCCTCACCAAAAAAGAGAGAGAGAGACAGAGACAGAGACATTCAACAAAAGACAGCCATTTAAGGCAATGCAGAAGAGGATAAGGGGGAGGCATGAGCAGAATATTCAACTTGAAAACACCCCAAACAGAAGCATAAGAAAAAAAATAATAACTACAAGTAATATGGAAAAAAGAATGAAATGAATTATCCCATATTTAGAAGTTACATTTTTCAAGAGAAAGGCTGACCCATGGGATTTTTTTTAAAAGGGTTAAAAAAGGTATACAAGAAGATATAAGCAGAACTTCCTTTTTTTACCATTTTTAAAATTGTTTTTCAATTAATAAGATTTATTCCTCTTCATTCCATCATCACTCTTCCCCACGTTCCCCTTCTGATTCTCTGGACTTCCTCTGCTATGCCACAGAGCCCTCTTCACCCTGGAAGTCCATTCTTCCCCTGGACTTCTCACACTGGAAGCATACTTTGTCCCAGCGGCCTCTTCCTCTGATTGGCTGTTTTCTTCAAGAACCTCCATTTTAAGGAAAACACCAAAACCAGCCATGTTTTCATTCCTCTCATGGCTCCACTTCTAACTCTGTTTTATCTATTATGTCCCCATGGGGATACCTCCCCCTTGACCACATTTTCAGCTTCCTTTTATGTGTTGTCTTCTCCCATTAGAATTTAAGCTCTCAGGGGTAAAGCCAAGATGGCAGAGAAAAGCCAATGACTAGACTGACCTCACCCAAATTCCCCTCCAAACAACTTTAAAATAACACCTCAAAATAAATTCTGGGGCAGCAAAACCCACAAAAGGATGGGGTGAAACAATTTTCCAGGCCAAGACAACCAAGAAGGTCAGCAGGAAAGGTCTATCACACAGGGTGAGAGTGGAGCAGAGCACAGTCTACCACATGCAACGCCTCATCAAGGCCTTGGGGCAACTAAATCAGGAAACCCAGGAGAGATAATTTAAGAACTTCTAGACAACATGAAAGTCATGATCAAAAAAACAACCTAGACATTATCTTTCAAGAAATTATCAGGGTAGCTAGGTGGCACAGTGGATAGAGCTCTGACCTTGGAGTCAGGAGGACCTGAGTTCAAATCCAGCCTCAGACACTTGACACTTACTAGCTGTGTGACCCTGGGCAAGTCACTTAACCCCAAATGCCTCACCAAAAAAGAAAAAAAAAAAGAAATTATCAAGGAAAATTGCCCTAATATTCTAGAACCATAGGGTAAAAGAGAAATTGAAAGAATCTACCAATCACTTCTTCAAAGAGATCTCAAAATGAAAACTCCCAGGAATATTATGGCCAAATTCCAGAGCTCCCAAATCAAGGAAAAATCACTGCAGGCAACCAGAAAGAAATAATTCAAATATCATGGATCCAGAGCAAGGATGACATGGCATAACCACTGAGGAGAACAATCATGGGGAAAAAAGAAGGTAGAATTGGGCCCCACAATTTAAGATATAGGATAAATTCTACAACATGGTGGTGCCTCTACACCATATTACTTGCCTCATCTCAATTTTTTTTTTGTATCCCCAGTTCTTAACAAATGGTAAGCAATTAGTAAATACTTTTTCACTTATCCATTTAGGATCCCAGAATTCTATGATTCCATGAAATAAATTCCATGAAATAAAATATAGTCCATAAATCAGAGAATAAAATTTTAGTATTGACTAGGAGAAAATTAAGGAAGAGAACAACACAAAGAAAAACTTCTTAGAAAAAGACAAAGTTGAAAAAAAAAAAGAAAGAATATTAACTAACATAAGAAGTAGAGAGGGGGAAAGATAAGAATTTGAACTACCCACTTAACTGAGAGGGAAAGAAAGAGACAAAAGAGGGGAAGAAATAGATAAAAGAAAAGAAAAGAAAATCAATACTTTAAATAACACAAAACTAAAGAAAAAATGGCAAACAGAAAAGGTTTCACACGGAAGATTATGTCTGAGTTACAGCTTAAAAAAAAAAGAAGAGGAACTCTGAGGCAAAGATCCCAGGCATGAGAGAGAATCACTGCAAAGGCGTGAAGATGGAAGACAGATTGTCACCTAGAGGAACAATGAGAAAGCCACTTTGGCTAGACTGCAAGGAGTACAAGAGGGAGAGTAATATACTATAAGGCTGGAAAGGTAGTTTAGGGCCAAGGTATATAGGACTCTAAAAACTAAACAAGGAAGTTTGTGTTTTATCATAGAGACAATAAGAAACCACTGAAATTAGTTAAGTAGGGGAATCATATTGTCAGATTTGTGCTTAAGAAAAATTATTTTGTCAGCAGCATACAGGATGGACAGGAAAAGGGAGAGATTTAAGGCATGGCAAACAAATTAGGAGGTTGCTGCAATAATCTAGGTGAGAGATGATGAGAACTTGAATTAAATTAGTAATTGTATGACTGTAGAGAAGGTGCCAAATGTGAACAATTGTTGTGAAGGTAGAAATAGTAAGGTTTAGCAACTGACTGGATATTTGGGGTGAGGGAAAGTGAAGAGTTTAGGATAATGACAAATCATGAAACTGAGACACTGGAAGGAAGGTAGTGCTTTCAACAGAAATAAGGAAGTTTGGAAGAGGGGAGTGTGTTTAGACATGATGAGTTTAAGATGTCTCCAGGATATCCAACTGAAGCTCAAGGGAGAGATCTAGTAGTCATCAACAGAGAGATGAGTTAAATCCATGGAAGCCCATCAATGAGGTTACCAAGAGAAAGTACACAGGGAGAACAGAAGAGGCCCAGGATAAAGTCTTAGGAAACACAAAATTAAGGGGCCAGTAAGAAAAGACTGAAAAGACTGAAAAGTCAGAGAGACAGGAGGTGAATCAGCAGAAAGTAGTATTGAATGTATCAAAAAATAAAGAAAAAGCCTTTGAGAAAATATAATACTCATTTATGCTGAAAACCCTACAAAGCACAGGCATAGAAGGATCTTCTAAAATATGATGAGAAAAGGTATTTATCTAAAACCACGTTCACATTAAAAGCAATAGAAAACAGTAAAATAAAAACAGGAAGGCACCCCTTTCCCACTATTAT